AGCTAAAGGAGACACGGTAGCATATAATGCTAAGCAGTTTGGTTTCTTTATTTAACACAAACTCATATTCCCAAACCTATATGTTAGTTTAGGTACATGCACTCCCTTCTCTTTCTTCCTTGCTCTGGCTCATAGCTAATCTCCTCAGCAGCAAACAAAGTCTGTTTCCTGAGGTCTCCTAATGGGCCTTGATCCATCAATGGTTTCCCCTCTCCCTCATTACTGGATCCTTCCTGTCAATTCTTAACAGGTCAAGTCTCTCCCACTCTAGTTTCTTAAGAAAACAAACCCTCCAAGGACCCCTTACTACACACTGGAGAGTAAAAATTGGCTAAGAAAGAAGAAAAGCATAGTTAATGAGAACAGGTGTAGAACAGTGATTTAGAATACAGATTCCTGTGTAGACGGTCATATTAAAATACCAGCTCCACCATGTATCAGCTGTATGACCCTGGGCAAGTTATTAATCACTCTGTGCCTCAGTTTCCCCACCTATAAAAATGGGAATATTAGTAGTGCCTACCTCATACAGTGTTAGAAGGAATAAGTTAATATTTTTTAAAGAGCTTAGAATATTAACTGGAACATAGTAAGCATTGCATAAGTGTTTGTTAAAAGAATGCAATAAAATAAAATTACAGATGATAGGCAGAGAATTTATTTTCTGTTTTTCCCAGCTACACCCTTGTGGAATGAGGAAATCATAAGCTTTCAACCAGATAAATACTCTCTAAAAATATTTTAGAGAGTATAATACAGCAAATTCTTTTTTTTTTTTTTACTAATAATTATCTTTCAAAAAATTGTGTTAAGACTGTACAAAACTCAAAGTGTGTTACTTTTGCTGATCCAATGTACTGTGCCTTCATGGGACTCTGGCTGGTGCCTGTCACATGAACAACAGAGGAAGGTAAACTGGAAAAGCAGCCTAGGGTGGGGGGACATGAACAGGATGCTGTCAGAATGTGCCGGAATCTTTACCGACAGTCTCAGCGAGCCTGTAACACACATCAGAGGCCTAACATTTTGGCCCACCTTCAGGCAGATTCGGTAATTGTTTTGAGATAAGTTAATGGGCTTTCTAAAGATGGCAAAGCTTCAGTGGCAATTTAAGTTTTTATCAGGAAATGTTCCCTTCCTGGTACTGAGGAGATATTATGTGCTTCACAATTTTACTGAGCTAGAAAGGGAGTATTTTCACATGTTGGCTCCTTTTAGTATTTGACACCTCTAACTACTGAATCTAAGATTGTGATCACTAGCATATAGTAAGAGCTGATGCTACTTTGCTATTCTTAAAGTATTTTGAAAAGGACACAATTTCAAAGACCAATTTTTATAGCATGGAATATCTCTGAGGCCCTATATTAGTTCCAGTATTATCATTGTCAATAATTCATGATAATTTATTATTAAGACTATCGGTCTCTAAAGCTCTAATTCTGGCCAATAAAATCCTGTTCGGAGACAGACATTTGCAAATACGGAAGCCCCGAAGGAGCAACTCTGGTCAGGGTGCTGGTGTCGAGGGTGAGAGGCCAGGCTTTGGCCGGACCGCTGGCTTTGCAGCTCTGTTTCTCCTTGTGCCGCTGACGTGAGCTCAGGCCCCTCGCCTGACCTCTCTCTGTCTCGGCTTCCTCGCCTACATAATTGGTGCTAATCACAATATATTTAAAGCACTCAGAAAAAAGCCTGGCAGATGTTTAGTGCTCAATGAATGCTGGCTGTTTGCTTCTTAAAAAAGGAATATTAAAAACACAAAAAAGTCCTAACGGGTTTTCTGTCTTGTGAGAGGAATAAACATACTCCTTTCCCAATCACTCCTCTACAGGTTTTTCACATGTCGGCCCTTCCACCTGGACCTGGACCAGGTAACACCCTGTGATCAATGGTCAAGATTGTACTTTATTTTCTATAAATTACAGCGCTAATGATTCTATTTAACAATAGAAGCATTCACTTTACTCTTTTCCCCCCTGATTCTCATTGTTTGCAATTAGACTATGAACTCTCAAAAAGAAGTAAATCGAATGACAAAGAAATTATAAGGAATTTAAGAGAAAGAGGGAAGCTATAGCTGAAATATTACTTATAAGACATCACCCAGCCACAATATATGGAATCTTATTTGGATTTTGATTTGAACAATTTTTTTAAAAAAATAATATAAGTCAATGGGGGGAATGTGAATACTATGGGAAATAGATATTTGATGATATTAAAGAAATACTAATTTTTTGGGTGATAATTTCTTCATAGTTCCCTTTTTTACGTCTGAAAATGATATGAGGTCAACAATGTGCCTAAAAATAATCCGAGGGCAAAGAGGACGACTGGAAAGGGACGTGGTTAAAACAAGATGATCAGTCCTGGGTAGACAGTTGTTGAAGCTGAAGGTGGGTGCATGAGAGTCCCTGACAATATTCTACTTTTTTAACATGTCTGAAACGCTGTAAAATAGAAAGTTAAAAAAAGGAATACATGATGATTTTAAAACATCCATAAAGAATTAAAAACATAACAGTAACTTAAAATCACATCTTACATTTGTAATACTTTTTTTATGAAAATATGCAAACACTGCATACTCATTAGCTATGCCAGGGGGAATGAAGGAAACAAGAATTGTTACTGGTTCCAAGACGAAGGAAAAACTAGAAGTAGGGCTTCTGTGTCACCGTCACCTGCAGAGACAAGAGTCAAGCCCAGTCTTTAGATCTGTGCATCCTATGGCCTCTTCACACGGGGACGGTGACACTGCCCTATGTTACTGGCAGTTTGAACCAAATCCACTCATGACAAGGTTTTGTACACTCCCTAAAAGAAAACAATCTCTGTGCTGCCTAAAGCCTCAGAAAAGTCAAGAAAACAAACCTGAGATTGTTCCGAACATCCAGTAAACATATATTGTATTCTCATTCATTCTTTTGCCAATCACCTTCACGGTGATTATGAGTTTGAGAGGTGAGAGCCACAGATGGCTGAATGCAGAGGGTAGAAGCAGGGGATAGGGATTCAGACTTGATTTCTCCCGGGGTCATTACAGATCAGGTGGGATACTGGAGGAGAGAGAGAGGAAGAGGGAAGAGGGCAGAACCAGGGGCGGGGGGTGAAGAGAAAGAGGGGGAGGGAAAGGGGGAGAGGAGAGGGAGGGAGGCAGTCGTGGTAGCCCAGCCACAGTACAGACCAGGAAAATGACCCAGCTTCTCACTTGAACTTGGGGACCACAAAGACAGTATTTTGGTGGATCCTACACTCAAGATTATTTTCCTACTTTTGCCAAATAAATAGGAATAAAATAAGGAGAACTCTGGAGATCAATCTAGAATGTTTTAGAAAATTTGAAAATGTTTATAACATGATAAAACTCAGAAACAAGCTAGTATTCTAAATTAATACAACCCTACATTAATGCAATTTGAATATTAGTAGCAATGTGTCATCCTCAAATACTGAGCTTAACAGTAATAACCAAAAGAATGACCTCATTTCTCCCTTTTTCATTCTATAAGATTTGTTAAATTGTTAAAGAAACCATATATTATACAATGTTATAAAGATTTTGTTAACTAAACTACCCATAAACCAGACACACTTTAATATGTAAGCAGGTATTATCTCTAAATAATCTTTCACATTTCTAAAGTAACTGCTGAGTGGTAACTTGGATCCGTTTTTCATGCTTTTCACTTCCCATTTTAGTAGTGCTGATTTGTGAAGGGGAAAGGTCTTTTCACACACTGATTCATTTCCTCCAACAGTGCAGAAAGTAGATTTTGAAACTGTATTACCATTGTTATTTCCACACCTCATAAATTCTGTCCCTGTTGCACAAAAACACTACCTTCTAATTCTATGGACACAGTTCATGGTCAAGAGATAAAAAGTACACTTACTAGCAGATAATGATATAAATAGCAGATAATCATATAAATTAATTCGCCGAGGATTTATTGCTATAAATGCATTAAAAATAAAGTTCACATATATTTCCTAGAAAAAGAAAGCTATTTTACCAGAAAAGAACTATTCTAAGATTATTCTGTGTTTATAAAACAATATATGTAACTCAGTATTGCTTAAGGTGTTAACATCTATTTTCATAAGCATTCATTTTAAAGGAAAGTACAGTTGGGTCATTGCATGTGATTTGTGTGATTCAATTTTAATTCTCAATTTAAATGTAAAATTTTCAATTAAAAAGTTGTCATGCTTTGCACTTAACTTTAAAACAAAAGTCACTGTCATTTTTCTTTTCATGTATTTTGAAGACATATTTTTGGAAGTCAGATGTTTGGGACTAGTATGTCTTTTAAATAAAACTTAATATTTTAGATTATGAAGAAAAAACCATTTAAAACATAAAATCTCAACAGGAGTTGAGACTTTTGGATAACCATCCAAAACATCCACTATAAATCTTTTTTTAAATACTGAGAGCTTGTCATAAGGAATTGCAACAGGTAAGACACAGAGAAAGGAGAAAGAAAAGAAAAAAGTGAAAACTATCACTTCACAGCTCTGACACTTCAATGGGAAGGATTCCGAGTATTTAGCTGTCTCTTGATACTATTTGATCCAGCTTTGGTAAGAATAACATAATTGTTTACTGAACATTTGAAAGATACAGTGGTTGACCTTGATAAGCAAACCAACTTCAGACTCTGGAGAAACGATATCTTCCTTGCATTACCAATACAAAAGAACTAAAGCAAATAACAGACTTGACATCAATGCCATGCTTCCATTTAATATCAATTATTATGATTCCATAGCCCTTTTGAATTTTTCAGAGAACTTTGCATGCATCATCCCACCTAGCCTCAGGGAAATATACAGAAGACAGACAGCTTGGAAACTCAGAGCATCCAGGTGAGAAAATGCAGGCTGATTGAGTAAAAGTGTACAAGATCATACATCTTAAAGCTTGCCAATCGAAAATATCCCCCATTCTAACATTAACGGAACATAATTCAAGTCCTAGTTCCGTGTGCAGTTACCTGATGGGTCGATTCTCTTTACTGTCAAAGAGCGAGAAGATGACCTCCAGCTCCTCACCCAGGTTGGAACACATGAGGCTCTTCATCTGGACAAAGAGGTGGTGACAGCTGGCCTGGACTGGGGTGTCTTTCTTCCGATGGCGATGTTCCATCTGAATGACACCCCCAACAAAAACACAATCAGCATGGACTGAAGACAATAATAAAATCCAACAAACTAGCTAGCTAGGGCATGACTGTGATGTCCTATCTAATAAGTTTTTTCTGCTGTGAATTTGGCATCTAATTGGATGTTCAATTCCAAATTTTCTCCAACTTCTAAAATAAGAAACTATGAAGTTTATAGATCATCAAAGAATCTTGCTTTAAGAATTTTAAAAACCATTAATGTTAAAAATGGTAACAACTCACTGAGTAGATTCAGGAAGCAGAAAGTTCAAAGGATTCTTGCTCCTTTATTAACTCCCAAGACAACAAATTATTAGTCATGTTTTTTAAAAAAAAGCACACTAAATTATATTTAAATTATAACTTCTCATTTCTTATAATTAAATGTTCTTTTAGATTACACTAAATTGCAAAGTCGTAGTGGTTGTCTGAGACAGGCTGAGGCAAACAATATTCTATCCCAAGAGCAAGAAAATGTTCCTAACTTGCTGTGGTGCTGTAGGGAGACCTAGGGAAGCCGACAAGGTGTCTAAAGGTAGGAATAGCATCTATGTCTACCTCTCATCCTGTTCTCAATATAGCCAGTCAAGGCTACATGTGGGAAGCAAGACCAGAAATGAGAGTTCCTATAGATGGAGGGAGGGAAGGAGCCACCCGTAAATCCAGAGGGGAGGAGAACGTGGGGACAATCATTCACGCAACAGGCATTTGTTAAGTATCTACGGTGTGCCAAGCGCTGGGAATGCAACTACTAAAAACAGAAACAGTCCACACCTTCATGGAGCTTATATCTACTATGGTGGGGAGGCAGGGAGCAGACATGAACACAACCGTCCTTACATAAAACTGCAACTGTGATGAATGGAGCAGAAGACCCAGATTCTGATGAGAGAAGGGAGGATTTGACTTGAATCTGGGCAGTCAGAGAAGGCTTCCTGGGAAAGTGACACCTTAGCTGAGAGCATAAGAAGGTACAGGAGTTACCTATGTAGGACAGGGCTCCTCAAACTGCTTGTAGTGAGGGACCAGATTGTGTCTCCCACTAATCCACTGCAGACTGATTCTTTCATAAAATGCAATAGGAATGCAATGGCAATGTCAACATGTTATAAAGGTTTCCAATCATTTACTTGCCAATTTTATACTTGGACCAGTTACTGACAGTTCACGGTCCAGCCAGTTCTTGGAACACACTTTTGAATAGCACTGATTCAGGATAAGAGTACAAGAAAAACACATAGAAAGGCCTCTGTATTAGCAGAACAGGTGCTAAGAATGTAGAGGATTATCGCTTTCATAACACAGACTCCTAAGGGAACCACCTCTTTTGCATCACTTGACAATTAAAAGAAACAGTTCAGGGTAAATTTTAACTCCATCATAAATGGAGACATAGCCTTTTTGGGAGTTAAGGTACATGACTCCATTTCTACATTAGCTATTTTTTTAAAGCTTCTAAGTAGAGTTCAATAAATACTGAATGACCAATTTTTGAAGCCAAATGCCATCTAAATTTACAATTGTAAATGCAACAGCATAAAAATCACCAGAATTTGTTCATGCTTTTGACTTTTATTTTTTACTACTTGACAAGTAAAGGGTGAAAAATATGTAGTTAACTAAATGCATCTATAATCACTGTGTACTCAATAGGTACATAGAGCACCTCTCCGTAAAAATAGAGCATAAATACATTGTTTTTAAAAATAGGACTCGGCATTGTGGTACAGATTGGCCATAATTACCAGAGAAAAGTTCCTGGAGAAAAATATTCTAATTGTGGGGAAAAAAGTATAATTCTGCTTTGTTTTCTATGAAGGTTGCTCTATTTTATGTTTTTAAAATTCTTTTTGCTATGGAAAAGGAAGCACTATACAGTCATAAAACTACATCTCTTTAACAAAGCAGCTCTTTTTTTTCCTGGAATTGCTAACTTATTTACTTGAAAGTTCACTATATGTTTACTGAACAGGGTAACACAGCACAAGCTACTATGAAGAGATGAATGACTCCTAAAGGCCAGAGCTGGAGAAACAGATGTAAAAGCCTTGTGAAAACAACAGACCTTAGGAGGTATCTGCTCTTGACTTCAAACAGTGCTGAGTTCCCAGCATTCATCATGACACTCACTGAGAACTGAGGGAGAAGATTAGCTCCCTTATTCATACGAAGAATCCAATATGTCTAAATCAGTGGTTCTCAACCTTGGCTGCACTTTAGAGGCCCCAAGAGAGCTTTTAAAAAATACTTATGCCCAGGTCTTATCCCAGAACAATTAAATTAGAATTTCAAGGGGATGGGGGTCCAGAAACTGGTGGTTTTAAAAGCTCCCCAGGTGATCCTAATGGGCAATGAGGGTTGAGAATCCCTGATCATGATCATGTGCAGAGAGATGCTAATCACAGCACACTAAAAAATGTATTGTTGCATCTTCCGAATAGTTATTGCCTTGGAGCCTTTGGTCTTTGCATGTGTGCTGGTAATAAGCCTGCTTGAGTCTACCCTTGGCGCATGTGACATGGGCCCTCACGTCTGACACTCCCTCTCCCCTGCCATTCTTCAAGGTCTGGATGGCATTGAACCTAAGTAGGTTATGATGACTTGCTTGTCTCTTGGTAATTCACTACTTTGGGGAACTGTTAAAAGTATCTGTGAAAAAATTATTGCAATAACAAAATTTAAAAAGCAAGTTCACACTTCAAGAGCTATGATTGGGTATTTATAACACAAAGACAGAAATCCATCTTGAAATAATTTGTGGTTACAAATGGACCTACCAGTTACTCTAAATGTATTTACAGTGTGACAAGATCTTTGATTAGGAGAAACAGATTCATCCCCCAAATTTATTTAACTGACTTACGGTTTTAATCCTCATATAATGTATTCATTATTAGATGCATTGTCTACACCAGCAGTCCCCAACCTTTTTGGCACCAGGGACTGGTTTCATGGAAGACAATTTTTCCAAAGACCTGGAGTGTGGTGGGAGTGGGGGTGGGGTGGGTTTTGGGATGATTCAAGTGCATTACATTTATTGTGCTAACCTCTCTGCTAATGATAATCTGTATTTGCAGCCGCTCCCCAGCACCAGCATCACCGCCTCAGCTCCACCTTAGGTCATCAGGCATTAGATTCGCATAAGGAGTGCACAACCTAGATCCCTTGCGTGTGTACTGCAAGCAGTAACGTACCTGCTCCTATGAGAATCTAATGCCATTGCAGATCTGACAGGAGGTAGAGCTCAGGCGGTGATTTGAGCAATGGGAGTAGCTGGAAATACAGATGAAGGTTTGCGGGCTTGCCCCTGCTCACTTTCTGCTATGCAGCCCACTTCCTAACAGGCCACAAACCAGTACCAATTTGTGGCCCGGGGGTTCGGGACCACAGATCCACACCAGAGTTTTTCAACCTCAGTGCTACTGACAATCAGGCTGTATATTTCTTTGCTGTAGGGGCTGTTGCAGGCTTTGTAGGAGGTTGTTCGGCAGCTTTCCTTGGCCTCTACCTACCAGATGCCACTGTCACCTCTCTCTCCCAACTCCTGTTGTGACAATCAGAAATGTCCCCAGACAATGCCAAATGTCCCTGGGGTGGGGGGTGAAATTATCTCTGAGGATGACCATTTTCCATTTGAGAACCACTGGTACAAGGTAACATGATCTTATAAAACCACAAAAGGTTCCTAAAAACATATTCTACAGGCACAAATAACCAGAGAATAGGGCTAATAAGGTTCTCTTTATTTTTAGAAGATTTGAGATCTTGCCTTTGGCACTAAACCAAGCTTTCTGAGTGGACATATGTTAACACCGTAAGGTTTAGCACTTTTACTGTTTAGATGAACATAATTAGGTGAGAAAGATGTGCTAACTGGGCTATCAAAAACCTAAAGTAAGACTTTTTTTTTTCCTGTTGATGCAATATGAAATTAGTAAGATGAAAACACCTGTGTTTCAAATATGACACTAGCAAGAAAGAAGTAAAAGAAGAGAGGCAGCAACAATTAATGAAACATCCTCTCAGGTCATTTTACCTCTAAGCTGTGGTCTGTGCTCCCATGTGACAATACACTGCCAAACAATAATAACAAGGGATTGGTGATGGTGCCTCCTAACTCCCTGATGAAATCAATACAGTCAGTCACTTCCATGTTGCATGGAGAAAAAGACCAAGGCTTCAGACAATCTGACTATTACTAGGGCCCAGCTTACAAATGGGAACCTAAAAAGAGGCTGACTTCAAGAAGAAAACATGTCCTTCTGAAACTTATAATTATTTGGGTTTTTCTTGGGCTATTGCCTTTGTTTTAGAAACAGTAACATGTAAACACTACTGAGGAGAAATTAAGATTTCATGTAAAATCACATTGTTTTATTTTCCTCATCTATAAAATAAAGACTCTGAGTTAGGATCTGAGTGCAAAATAATGAAATACCCACTGCTGTCTTTCCTACCAATGGCAGACATTACTAATCAATCAGAGCCTAGAGGAGATCCCAAAATCTTATCAACATTGCACTCCAGGCAGCCCCCACCAATAAATTGGAATGTTGAAAAAGGTGAAATCAATTTTTCGCCCTGTATATGAAGAACAGAGATAAAATTGCATATACACAAAATTGAACTAGGGAAAATAAAACCCATTTGTACAGAACAATATTATCAAATATTTGACATCACCATCTAAATATGGGGTGTGGCCATGGTCTACCAAAGAAATATAAATGTGATTGTTGTGTGGAACTTCTAGGCAGGGTTGTTAAAGTAGTTTTATCAACCAAGAGGAAACTTTCTCCTTCTTTCTACCTGCATTGCAGATGCACGCAATGGCTAGAACTTTTGCAGCTATATTGTACCTTGAGGTTTGCTTGATGATAGCAGTTATGACTACACAGGAGAAAGGTATGTGCTTGTATCCCTTTTTACACCATGAAACCACAAACTCAGAACTTCCTGCTTCTAGACTTGTATATTTTGAGAAATAAGTTTCCATCACGTCTAAGCTTCTACTACTTATTTCATTAAAAATAGCCAAATCTAATCCTAAGATTTAGCATATGAGATACCATATGCTATCCATGATGCTATCCATACTATATTCTTTCCATGATGTCTCTCTGATGCAGATGAAATAAAGATGGGAAAGAAATGAAAGCTGACTGAATATTTAGGTGTTTTGCACGTATTATTGGAAAGGCATTTTATATGTTTCTCTTTAACCTTCATAACAAATATGAAAAGAATTATTTCACCATTTAGTACATGAAGAAACTCAGGCTCTAAGAGATTAAGTAAGCTCAAGACCACAGAGCTGGTAAAGGGAAGAGCTGAATTGCAAACCCAGTTGTTTGGCGCCACAGTCCATGGTCTTTTCATAATACCTCAATAACCCAGAATGACCTCGGAAACAATGACTAGGCACTTATTAAGTGCAAAGCACTGTACGAGATTACCTTTGAGCATAATAGAAGACACAGTGTGCACCCTGAAGAAACTTAAAATTAAGTGATTATTTTAAAAGTGAGAAAAAAATATGATGCTCAGTGAGTTAAATAAATGAGCAACAATAAACATGTCACATTAGAGGTGTGACTGACAAATTAGCTATACGGATTATATTTGTTGCATAAGCTAAGAAGTCATGATGACTTTAACTTGGAATACTCTCATTTGTTCCTTTTTGGCCCCCTCCCTGACTGATCTTGAACTATATTCTTGCTACGTGCCAGATACTCTGCTTAGCACTGATGTCACAAAGGCACGAAGCACACAACACCACTCCCAGCAGGTGCAACATACAGTAAAGGAGATCCTCTACAAAAACAGAATTTATGCCAACTGGCACAATGAAGAAAAGATAACCTGAATTTCAATCTGATGATTAAAGAAAAAACTGAAAGTGATATTAAGAACTGCCTTATCCAATCAGTCACAAGCTCCTACAGAATTATTAATAATTCCCCCCCCCAATTTTTCAGATATGGACAATCTACGGGTTAAGGATATCCCACTCCTCTCAGAAAATTACTATCAGCTTAGAAAGCTACCACACAAGAGGGAGGATCTTCCAAAAATGAGTCTACTATTTCCAACAGGAATGCCTCCTAGGAACATTATGGTAAAAACAGTAGTAACGAGATCAAAGTAAAATTACACTTGGGGTAGTGGCCTTTGAAAGCCCTTCCCAACCGCCTTCTTCACTGATTTTGGGTTTTAAGAGACTTTAGCTAATATTAAGAGATTGGTAAATTTCACACAAGTATTTAAGAATATAAGGCTATACACAACCTGGCAAATTGGACCAGGTTTGGGGAACCTAGATGCCAAGCAAAAAAATTGGACTTTCACCTACCACATAACTAGAAATAAACTCAAGTCATAAGTGATGTCATGATGGACAATATAATCAAACATTTTGAGATTATCAACTGGCTTCAGCACTTAGGAAAGTACTGGAGTCTAGGAAGGATGGGTGCAAGACCAGCAGTTGAGGACCAAGGACAGGAGGTGAGCAATGTCCAGGTATCATTGTCACAGCATCGTCCTGAAACACAACTGATGGATTTATGTGACAGACAGACATTTCATCAGACTAGGAAAAAAAAAAAAAGTATACAGATTTGCAAAAGAACTGAATGAACATTTCTGAGAATTTACTTCCTAGTGCCTGGGCACTGAGGGCCTGCTAGAGAGCATTACATCACTCTGAGATAGGTAAAGTGTCTCGGTACTGTACTCAGGGCATGGTCACCTCAGTTCTCAATTCTCCACACTCTCTCCAAATTAAATCTGGAACATCCTGTTCTTATAAAATCAAGCAAGCATGGAAAGTGCCATGGAAACCACAAAATTAGCAGTGAGGCTGTGAGCGGAGGTTTCCTGTACCTACCAGTCGGTAGAGCTCAGTGATGCTGATGTCCTCCGGATCCACCATTGCATACTCTTTCCTGGGGACCAGGTCCAGCCCCAGTTGTCTAGAAAACAAATTGAAAATGTTTGGGGGAAAGTCACCTCCATAAAATATATTAAAAATAATTATTTTTCCTATGCCACCTTGAAATTACCCACCATGCTTCCCCCACCTGTACTTTTTACCCTGTATGACTTGTTACCACAGTTGGGGTAGACAATGTAAGTAGGCTGGACACTGACTGGGCTTAACTCAAGAAGTTATGACAAAATCACAGAAGGTGACAAAGTCAGACAAATCAAGAAGGGACAGGCTGGCACTCTCGGTGGGGTCCTCCTTCCATTGGGGTCCTTGGCCTTATATATTATGCAGAGCCTTCTGTACCTGACAAACTATCCCCAGAGAATGCCTTCTCTAGTGGGGTGGAGTGGAGTAGAAACCAGAGCTAGACATACTTTGGTTCTGGACATTGGAGTTGAGGAGAGGGAAGTTCAGCCTTTAGGATTTGATCTAGCACCAAAATACCTAGATATGTTTCCTACATGAACCTGTAGCAACTTGTGCATGGTCTTTATTCACAGCAAGTTCTGGGATCAGTCATTAGGAGAAACTCAGTGAAGATGTGGAACAGAAACTGGAGCAGCATAATTCTAGGCTTGGGTGGCAAAATGGTTTAACCTCTTGTGTCAGGTTTCATTACAGTTGATATGTGGCTTGCTGGGTGGAAAAGTATTCTAAGGTTATAGCCAGCCTCAGAGGGACCAAGTATGGTAATTGATTTGTGATGTCCTGCCATCCACAGAGGAAAGCGAGGCTAACCTTGTTCTGGCCAGTGTCCCTCCAGTGACCTTGGAACATACTCCTCTCCAGGACACTGACTGTACAACGCTGATATCAATGCCACATAATTCTCTTCATCTCCTTAACTGTCCCCAACCATTCCAAAGGCTTCCTGATGCCTCCAAAGGCCCTATAGATGAAAGCCAATACATCTTCTCTCTTACAGAAGCCTTGCAATTACTACCACACTCCAGGTCTCAGGCTCAGTTCTCCAAGGGTCATTTGTCCTGCATCCCTTTCATGTCATCACTCTCTCTAACATGGAAGCCTTCCAGGGTTGCACTTCCAATTATAGAACCACAGCTTTCTTACTTTTGTATTTAAAAAAAATCTTGAAATTCTATGTTCTTCCCAAAATCTCATTAAGATTTCATAAGTAAAATGTATTAATTCAGCACCTACTTCAAGCCAAGCACTGTCCCAGACACCCTGAGGGATATTTGTTCTTAAGAGGATTAGAAAACTGTCACCTCCTAGATAGCAGGAGCTATTTTTCAGATACTAAAAAAGTTTCTCAATTTTCCTAAATGATGTGTCTCTTTGAGGAACTTTAAAAAAAAAAAAATCACATCCCCATTCTTTAATTTGTAGTTGAATTTTCAAATCACAAAGAGCGCTGTGATTTTTTTTTTTTCTTCAAAGTGTCCCCATCCCCTCTTGCTCCACCCTTACCAGGGATTCTGGTAGTGTCTGTTCCCCATCCTCCCTCCCATCGAAGAGAGAACCACTGCACTACAATGTAAGATGTCATTTCACACCAGGTCAATACTGCTGAGGAAAGATCATTTAGCAAAGAAAAGAGGACACATTACCACAAATGAATTATGGTGCCTGCCTAACCATAGCTCCTTCCACGAGAAGCTGCTCTACTCACATTCTCTGCTGGGAAGACCTTCCTGAGCCACACCTGACTAAGGTAAGCATGTAACCCAAGTACAAATAACCCCGTGGGCTGGACAGAAACATGTGAGAGGCTGATATAAAACACTTGATCCAAACAGGAATAATAGACATTGGCTGTCAACAAGATTCCTTCCTTGAGAGATTGAACTTGGAAATTCAGACAACATCAGCCATAAGCCATGAGGAAGACAAGCTATATGAAGGGCAGGTATCCTACGTCACTGCAGAATGAATGACAACAGCTGCAGATGTTCTGCAGCGCCAGAAACCAGTGATCTGCAAGACCCTTCTTTCCACAGGCTTGAATGTTCAACTTCTGCTGGTTTCCTGAAGTCCTGGCTATGTGAAGAGAGTCTTCTTTGTTTCTATTTGGTTTTGTTAATTGCGAGGTATATTCGCAGGATAAACCTCCCATTGTTTGAGGTTTTGTAGCTCACAGGATAGAATCAGGGGAGTACTTGACAAAGAGTAAGGAGAAATGAGGACAGAAGGAGAGAGACAAGACGGAGGGAGATCACACAGTATCTGGGAAGCCAGTAGTGGTGTGGGGTGTCACTTTACATCAGCTCAGTCATTAAACTACTCTGTGACATCAGGAAGAAAGGATGAACTGATCTTCCCTCCCGTATAATCTGAGCCAGAAAGTCCAAGGACACCATAGGACTCTGTGGGCAACAGAAACATGTGCCATTATTTCAGTGCTGTCAGAGGCTCCCAGGTGAGAACAATTCTTTTGCTGTCCCCATTAGAGAATAAGATGGATTACATCCTCCTCCTCCCAAGCTTCCCACGTGCAGAGGGCTGCTCTTCAACAGTCTGATGTACAACCTCAGATAGAACACATTCTTAATGTATGTTCATCCAGAGATTTATGTGCTGACAGATAAGTGTGTAGGACAGTTTGATCTGCTTTAACAAGCAAGAGAATCATCTTAATTTGCTGTCCCTTTAGCACTATTCAATAAGAAAACAAGTTTATGCTTAAAGGAGTAAGGTAAGTGCACAATCTCTATGCTGTAGGTTATTTTTAAATAAGTGACCAAAGAAATTCAAAGAAAACAGAATGAGAACTCAGAAAATTCATAAAGTTGAGGATGATCTAAATAAATTATACTGCTCATTTTCATGCATCAATGTTTTACCAATTTATCATAAATTAGCCAGGGAACTGCTCAAAGTACAAGCTAGAACTTACGTAAGTCAAAAACTGAGTCATAATTCAGCCATAATTAATGTTTTTCATACCTTCCCCTTTTCATTCTGCCATCATCTCCCTTCACAAAACTGAAGAAGTATCATTTTCTTGCCTGCTCTACGTTCCTAAGTTATTTTTGATAAGTGAATTTCATCCAACTTTCTTCCTATTTACAAACTAGTCCTTTAAATGAGGACCAGCACAATGACTAAGAACCTATATAAATCAGAGAAAACTCAAAGGATTTTCAAAATAATAAAGAAACACAGGAAAGACAGGCAGCACAGGGCACACTCGCAGGGGCTTTAGAGCGACTCCCAGGACCCGCTCTGACTCACGCAGCAGGGCGGGAAGCTCCATGCAAGCACCTGGCAAGTCTGATCGGTCACGAGGCTCTGTATGTTTTAAATTGTATCATCCTAGAGCTGAATGGGCCTTTGGATCTTCTCTAGTTCTATTTTCTCCTTTGACAGATAAAGCCCTGACATCAAGAAGGGCTCAGGAATTTGCTTCAGGTCTTAAGAAAGTAGAGTTCCAAGTCCAGTGCTTTTGTTGCCCCTCCACACATGCACTTGTTTTATTTCTCATAGGAATGAATCTTCCAGAAGTAAATAAATTAGGCTATTCTATACATTGTCTGTAAAAAGATGAATGGCACATCATGTTCAACAAAATACCAGAAGTACTCTGGGTGAGATGGAGATTTAAATCTGTTAGCAGGTCCATGTATTTATATCTGTAATATGTAACGTCTTGGCGGGAATCAAACCTGGCTTCTGACAAAGTGACTTCCTATGGTTAGGGGAAGGAACATTCTGGTTTCAAATGGGTTTTTCCAGATCTGAAGGTAATTTACCCATGGCTCACTTACAGGCATTTTCTCCTTTCTGTCTGCTTTTCTTTTTATCTGCTGCCCTAAGATCTTTTGGAGGTCAAGATAGTTAACAGGGATTTGGGGAGAGGAAAGGAAGAGGGGATAGGGCCATGTAGTATATATTAAGGAGCCATTCACTCCCTTAAACCTATGCCTTGTGCAACCCTAGGATCATGGTCAAAGTTGGCTTATTCTAATTTCTCACTTCTATATTAGTATTCATACTTAGAATAGTATTGGCATTGGTCAGAGCTTTCAGTGATTAGATTTACTACTTAAGTGTTTGGCTGATATTTTAAATTAGTTACTCACTTATAGTTTTGTTTAAAAGTAAATCTCAGTCAGGAACCGTTTTTACTGCGTTCTCCCAAGCAGCTCCTCAAATTGCTAAGATGCACGCACAGAACCAATCAGAGCAATGACAAAAGGCCCTACCAGTGCACTTGGCCTGAGACTTCTAACAGAAGCTGTTAACACTAGTGTCTCCCTCCAGATTACACTGGTGACCTACCACCCTGATATGAAAGAGATATACATTACAAGCACATATACCTGCCAAACCCAAAGTGTATTTAAAAATAAGATCCATTTTAGCCACAAGCCGTATCTTATTAATCCCTGGGAACGTTTCATGTTCCATGAGCACGTGCACACTGTCGGATCACACAAGGTCCTAGAGAACAAACACCAGCCGGACAGAGAGTGGTTCTCTGCTCCCTCGATGACAGTTTTACCCCAAAAGAGGAAAACCTTGAAAGAGACATGGTTCTGGTAATATTACCATGTGCTGGCTCAGGCTTGTGTCAATTCTGTTGTGACACCCGCTAGGCTGCTCTGTGACAGTCGGTACTCACTCATTGCCCCAGTCGAGCCTGGCAGTGATGTGGCGCTTCACGTCCTTCATCCGGTCATGGGTGAGGTGGCCCACCAGCACCTGCCGCCGCAGGTCCAGGATCTCGTTCATGATGTGCCACAGCCGGTGGAAGAGATCACCTTCATTCCTCTAAGAAATACACAAGCATGGAGATTTGATAATCAGTCCCCGCACTGAGTTGTGAGATAACCAAAGAGAAAAGGGAAAGGGGCAGGTCCTGGTCACCCTCTACCTGTGCCTGCTGCTGTGTGGGCAGCTTCTCCGTTAACAGACGGACTCTGCACTCATCGTCCTCAAACGCACTCCCTCCTCTCTCTGCTCTGTATGCTTCCATTCACAATTCTGCTCTCTGTCCAAGAATGCAACTTTACCTCTCAGACTCCCCGAAAGACACTTTGTGTTCTTGCTACTCACTACGCCTCCACACCTGGAACTCGGCCCGGTCCACAAGCTATGTGTACGCTGCCTCCCTTCCCACCTCAAGTGCTCCTTTCTTTTTTTTTTTTTTTTTTTTGAGACAGAGTCTCACTTTGTTGCCCAGGCTAGAGTGAGTGCCGTGGCGTCAGCCTGGCTCACAGCAACCTCAATCTCCGGGGCTCAGCGATCCTACTGCCTCAGCCTCCCGAGTAGCTGGGACTACAGGCATGCGCCACCATGCCCGGCTAATTTTTTGTATATATATTTTTAGTTGGTCAATTAATTTATTTCTATTTTTGGTAGAGACGGGGTCTCGCTCAGGCTGGTTTCGAACTCCTGCCCGCCTCGGCCTCCCAAAGTGCTAGGATTACAGGCGTGAGCCACCACGCCCGGCAAGTGCTCCTTTCTTTAGCTCTGCCCACATTCTACTGTCCTACAGAGCTTGGCCTGACTTCCACCTCCATCAGGAAAGCTTCCCTGTCAACTCTTGCTCACACTCTTTCCCCCCTTCTCTGAGCCATGGCATGTAACTAAAGTCAAGGAAGTGGAAAACTTTGCTTGCCAGTGATTTCTTGCATGTTGGTCTTAACGCTTTATGGGGATCTCCCATCAGAAGGTGAGTACACTAACTCATTGATGAATGTGTACTGCTATTATTTCTCCGGTATTTAGACTTATTTAAAAAATCATGCTTGCTTCTTACTTTTAAAACAGTCATGCAGATTCTAGATCATCTCATGTGAAATTCATTAAGCTATGTAGTTTAGCTGAAAGAACATAGGTTAATCCCCTGGCTTCAAGTCCTTGTTTTGCTACTTATGAGTTCTATAGACTTTGAGTGTGAGTTTTGTCCCCTGTAAAACTGGAAGTGCTATCTTCTGCAAGGCCTGTTTTATGGATTAGTGGTAATGATTGTGAAGGGAGTCCTAGAGCACAGTGGGAAAGAGCACAGACTTAGAGCCAAAGGACTTCAATCTGAATTCCAATTTTGGCATTTACTGGCTAAAAAAGCGTTAGTAATTTATTAACCTCTTTGTTTTATATTCTCAGTTGTAAAGTGGGTATCACAGTAACTACCACAGAACATTGTTGTGAATATTAATGAGTTATTAAAACTCTGAGAAATGGCTGGCCCAGAATAAATATCATATAAGTATTAGCTGTCACTAGTACTGTTATTGTTTTGGGCTTGATCCAGAATGAGCTCTCTACAAATACTCTCTCTAGAGCAGGGGTCCTCAAACTTTTTAAACAGGGCGCCAGTTCACTGTCCCTCAGACCATTGGAGAGTGCGCACTGTGGGCCCGGGACAAGTCAGCTGCTAAGCAGGACAGGCAGCTGCAGCAAAAACACCGGAGAGCCGGATAAGTGTCCTAGGTGGGTGGCATGTGGCCCGTGGCCGTAGTTTGAGGATGCCTGGTCTAGAGCAAAAGCAAAATATGTATCTCTTACCCCAGAGACATTAGTGTAGACCTTATATAAATATTTACCCTTCATGTTTCTTAACCAGAATTTACACTTTTACTTTCCAAAAAAGTTATTAGACTACAGGAATAGTGATATAAAAGTATTGAGGTTCCCATCCATCTATAGTCCTCTACACAGTTACAAGCTGCCAGAAATACCAAGTCCTGTGTGAGGGGTAAAGACAATCAGTCTTCACATATTTTTTATTTTAAAAAGTAATGATGTGTTCTCTGCTTTTTCACTATTTGGTGTCTGGAAGAGTTTTCAGGTACTGTGCAGGTCAGACAGAAGTGCCAGAGGAAACAAAAAGCATTCTCTAGGATGCCATCTGTGATCCTCTCAGAAACAATCTTACTTCTAAGATTACTCCTAATAACACCATATTGAGCCTATTATTCTATCATTTCTCACTCTTTACTCATGTCATACACTCCCATACAAGTGGTTACATGAGCCCTGTAACACAGTGCTCTTATAATTAACTGCCCAGTGTCTGTGTTCTCCACTTGGCTGCAAGTACCCAGCCACGATGGTTGGGTCTGCCTGGTGTAGCCCTGGCAGCTGGAGAATGAATGAATAAATAGCTTGATTTAATGATATTAGTTTTTGTGGAACTTGAGAGGTAGGCTCTGTTCAGATCATGCAAAAGAATAAGAAAAGATTAAGAAACACTTGGGGAAGTCAGTGGCGGGAAGGAAAAGTCTGCTCAAGTCAAAAACATTTTATTACATAAGGAAGTTATAAAACAAGTAAAATGTAATGCTACCAAGAAAGAGCCAGCACCCTCTTGAACTGAGTGGTCACAGTGAGACTAATCATCCGCCTGCTTTTGGGAAAAGCATTCTGCAGTCGTTTAGTAGGATGGACTTGATATTCTATGATGTCACCTCTAATTCTTAAATTTAAGAGAACTAAAATGTGAAGAAAGCAGAATCCTTTACAAAACTGAAAATCAGCTGGTGACCTCTCCCTTCAGTGAAGAAAACCCAGAGGTGGCAGGAACACTGACATAGTGCAAGGCCTGGCCAGCACATTTGCCCTGCTAGCGTAAGAAAAAGGCATGTATATCTGATTGGACATCTAGTCATAAAATTATGATTCTTTAAAACTTGGGCTTAAAAGTTGGGTAGTTATAAAGGCTATGTAGAAATATAAAAAATTGCTTTTGATTTAGTGTTAAATGAAAAAGGTAGGGTACGGTATTAAACTTTTGGAATAAAACAGTATCTAGAAATTCTGGCAATATAACAGAAATGTAGCAAAGAGTCAATTGTGAGTATTTTAGTTTTTAGAGAATGAGTTTTTATTTGCCTTAAAATGAAAACAGCATAAGTTTTAGCAGCAGCGGACCTAGATTTAGATTCAGGCTTTGCAACTTAGCATGAGACCCTAGATAAATTATGTTTGATAAGAGTTGAGAATAAAAACTACCTGGCATAGCCCTAGGGAAGAAAGATGTAAAATCTCCAGCCCAGGACCTGCACAAAAGTATTCATTAAAAGATGGCTGCTCAAATTGGTATTAATGGATCAACACCTAAGTGGACATATAGGAGTAACATTTATCAGGTGTCGGGAGGGTGGGAGGGGTGAGGAGGGGATGGGTATACACAACCAAATAAGTAAGATGTGCAACGTTTCGGGGATAGACATGCTTGAAGCTCTTACTTGAGGGGGGAGGGAGGCATGGGCAATATAAATAACATTAATACTTGTACCCCCATAATATGCTTAAATAAATAAATAAATAAATAAATAAATAAATAAATAAATAAATAAATAAATAAATAAATAAATAAATAAATAAAAGATGGCTGCTGTATTTCTCCTAAAGTTTTTGTGGCTACATTACTGATATATGATTAAGTGATACTCTAAAGAGTATCATTTAGGCCCTTAAACTAATGTTATTTAGAAGAGCAATTAGCATTTCTCAAGCATTTACCACGTGCTTTTATGCTAAGTGTTTGACATATACTATCTCATATATTGCTTACAATTTACAAAGTATTATTACCCTCATCAAACGTCTTTGAGTGGAGAAGCTAAATGCCTTAACACTGTTGGAAAGAAGATGGACAAAACTCTACATATACTCAAATATGATGAACTTGAACCAAAACATTTGATACAAAATGTTTACATGAGGAAAAGAGAAACCAAAAGCTCTGACATGGCCAAAGTAGCTTCATTCCTAACATCAAAAATCTAATTTCTCCAGGTTAAAATTTATATTTGATCCTAACATAACTGACTACCATGCCAGTATTCAGGGAGACACTTAGACAATTCTCTCTCTTTCCCATTACTTAGAACACTAGAAGGAAAGGAGGTTACTTCTAGAATTTACGACACATAGACTTTCAAACCAACCAACTGTTCCCAAAATAGATGTTCTCAATCTCAAAAGTGGTAAAAATAGCTAGATAAGGCAGAATCCAGAGGAAATTCAACTTTGTTCCCCACTATTACCTACATAAAAGGAAAAGTGCCGGTGCTTTAGCTCAGCTAATGGACAACATTTACACTGTCATTATTTTTATAACTCTCTTATGTTGGACATTTAGGATGTAGTAGTTGAAACATTTCAAATAGTTTCTTTTTCTACATTAGTGTCATGCACAATGTTACTTGAAGTGAAATAATACTGGGATTTTGTAGTCTTTCTAACACAAATTAAAAAAAAAAAATCTACAAAGGAGATCTGCATTTTCTTTGCACCTCGCCAGAACAGAGCCCTGGAAGTCAGTCGTCTTGACTTTGTATTTACAAAACCTACACTCTGGCAATTCATCTAAGATTGCCTTGTGGATTTTCATAGTGAGTCGCAAAGCTCCAGGAGGGTATAATCAGAGAAGTCCAACATCAAAGGGATTTTATTAGTGACATTGTAAGATTTTCTTGCCTCAATGAAATATCCTATTGCAATTTAGATGTAACAGACAAAAACTGTCATTCTGTGCCAATGTCCCTCACTAATTTGGATTTTCTCTTTGACAAGCTGTTTCAAATCATTTTGGCAGGATAAGTATACCTTTGTATTTTGAACACATCCCTTCAAATGATTAAGCTGTTCTATAAATTTCTTTGAAAATGAAAGGAGAAATAGAATTTATTTTTCTGAACACTTTAGCACCCCCTGATTTCCACACGTATAGTGGGGTTCAGAGTGGGAACGGCAGATCTGCATCAGAATCCCAGCTCATGTTTAGATATTTCTCAAAACTATTCTCTACCTGAAAAATCATGCCATTAAAAAGTTACTTACCACATAGAGTTGTTTCCACATGGTCCCCCAGTCTCTTAATGTTGATGTCATTTCTGTGATAACGGAGTCTTCAGTGGGAATAACCATTTCAAATTGTCTGTGAAATTAAAAAAGAAAAACAAAGTAAATATCATAGGCAACAATTTTGTTTTAAATAGTCGAAAAGACAAACTAGGGAAGAAAGCTGCCTGATTATTGCTGGTTCTGAAGACAGTACCCAGGATCTGATTAAAAGCTTGTATGAGGACTGCTAAGTGGGTTACGGTAGTACTATACCAAACACAACCGGCCAGTTCATACAGATCAAGTTTGAACAGCATGGTTGAGAAGGAACAATATCAGAAGAGTTCCACTCCAGTGACACTTTGAGCACTAGGCAGCAACGAATTTAACCTCTCTGAGTCCAAAAGCCTTCATCTGTAACACGAGGTCACTGGTCTACATAAACTCGGGGGTGACTTTTGCCTTCCAAGTGCTATGCCCACAGGATTCAAAAGTAGAAGAAACACTGTTCAACCATCAGGATATGATGGCTGTGAACATCCAAACGAACTCAGTTTTATATGGAACTGGAGCATTCACTTGATCTCAGTAACACTTCAGCTTTATTATTTGCAAACAGGGCCATGAAAAATGATTAGTATTATTAGTAATGCTACCATGAAGCATAGAACTTAAGGGCTGAAGACATCACAGATACTTGAATATCCATTCCAAAATATTCCTCTCTCTGATTAAGATAATATAGTCTTTCCACTTCTTTTCTAAAAGACAGAAACTATATTTGGAAAATATTCATACCAATATCTAGTAGGGTATGTTTTGTGGTCCTAAAATTGAGAATATACCTAGGGAGATGGGGGGAAAAATAGAAAATTTAATTTGTCCTCTGCCTTCTACCTTTGGCATACAACAATCTTCATCTCCAGGTTTTGTTTTTTTTTTCAAATTCATTCAGTTTTTATGAAGGTTAAAGTGGTTAAATGGCTATTACTACCAATGTTTCTCAAAAGAATACTACTGCTATACTTGACAGGGACTATTTTCTTTATTTCAGAATATTTTTCTCAAGGACAACATCTAATATGGAGAAGGTAACAGCATATTAGATAAAGAACCAGGTTGTCTAAATGATCAAGGGAAAATTACTTCTTAGCATGAGGCTAATAACTGCTCTGCATTTCCTTTTTGATATTATGTCCAAAGTGTGTACAATTGTCTCTTATAAAAATCTTCTTGACAGAAGCAGCATGGGAACTAAAATCTGGCCTTGATTCCTTCACCAACAGAGCTTTATCTCCTCATTTCATAAATAAAATACCTGCCCTGTGAATATTTTCCTTATTTCTAGAGTCTAACCACAGCTGAAAATGTAAAATAGGGATTTAAACCTTTAAGTAAAAGTAAACAGTAACATATGAACTGTGACAGATACAGAACCTTTTATTAAATCTACATATGACATTTTCAAATGGTAGGACATTTATTTTGCTTTTGAAGCAGCTGTTGCAATTTAAATGATGAATATTTGGAGATGAAGATTACAAAATGATCCTATACAAGGGTCAAGGAGGGAACACTGAATTTCCAGGAAAACTTGACATCCTACTTAACATTTAAAAAGTGACATGACCTCAGTAGGAATTAAACAATACAGAAGTGGCCTCACTATTCACAAACTATAATTTAATTTAAGGGCCCCTATCAGCCCTACATTGCTCTGAAGACCCAGGGAAGAACATAAAGGCAACTCAGTCAGTAGGGCATTGATTTGGGGGCTGTCCAACAAAAATGTAAATTTTTAAGCACACAATCACCATTTTAGGCAAGGCAGCTGTTTCCTATTACTTATACCAAAACCAAAATCACTGTTCAAATAGTCTTTCCTAAGTGTCTGCTCCTGAAATTGTATTTTGTTCGGTTATTCTGGGATATATACTGTTCAGCTATCTTATCCTGGTGGGCCATCAAGCTGCAAATGTACTTAAAATAAGACGAGTAGCACCAAAATCCCAAAAGGTTCCTCTCTGGGAAAGCAATCATCTGGCAATATTTGCCCTTAAATATTTGCAGGCCAAAGTTTTTCTTCCAGCAACCATCCTGGAACCTAGGGTTTGAATCAATTCCAATAATTCTTTTTTAGAAAATAAAGCTGGGATCTACCCCAGAGTCGTGCTGTACAATGCTCATCATGCCCGGCGTCAGGTGAAGAGCCCACAGGCAAGCCTTAACCTCGCACAACCAAATTTTGAGACACCCCTAACCGCCATTTAAACTTCCTTGGGGCTCATGGAAGGGGTCCATATTATACACCAGTTACTGGCTAGGATTTCAAAAAAAAAAAAGGGAAAAGAAAAAGAAAGTACTCATTTTAACACCATGACGCATCCCAACTCACTTTGAGGGGTGGACTTTGACTATGTGGAGGGATGCCTGCCATCTTCTCGGCTAGCAAAGCATTCTCTCTTTTCTCTCCCTCGGTCAGAGCATGGGATGGGGGCTGGGCAGCCCTTTGGCATGCAGAGTTGAGGGGGGTCAGGGTTGGGCTTGGGGCAAAGGCAGGAAAGAGAACTGGTTGCATGGGCTTGTCCAAGTGGACACTTTAAGACAGGGTAGACCATGGAGTTTCCACATTGCCAAGCCAAGATCACTAAGGCAGAACAATCAGAACAAAGATAAGCATGTGGCTGAAGTGTTTTCTAAAGTATCCTCTGGTTTACTGTAAGTGGGGAGGAGGATGTCAAACCTACCCTGGTAGGAAAGTTTCAAACAATTTTGGACATTTCTACTGGACATTTCTGGTGAACTGCAGCTGCACAACATTTCTGAAGGGCAGATATTTCTTAAAATATTAGTAGTGGTGATAATTATTAGTATTAGAATTATGTTTTCAATTTACTATTTTAAATAATTACTATGATAGACTACTACTAATATTGCTTAAAGTAGATGACATGTATAAGGCATAGAGTAACGGCTTCCTAGATTTTTTAAGGTTTAACCATATAGGGAACACTTAAAGTATTTATACCACAGACCCACTTGTAGAAGTTCTTTCACTAAACTGAAATTTAATACCTTTATAGACAGTGGATGTAAGAATCATCTGTTTGAGTAACATTCTTGTTAGTTTTTGTAGGAAAACTCAAGTTTGAAGATCCCACTTATTGTGTCTTAAGAATTCAAATAATAAATTGTCATTTATTGCTATTTGAGAAAAATGTAATTTCTATAGCTAAATCTGTATTCTTCTGTCATAAAATGAAAATCATACCATAACACTGAATAGTCCTTATGACACTGATACCAAAGGTTTGTGTCCAAATCCGTGGCCCCCTTAAAATGAATGATCTGCTTAACTATTTAAATAGGCACATTCTATTGTTGTTGTTTTTTTCCTGCAATTATTTGAATGATGTTGTTCTGACAGCTGCCTCAAATCCTTTTGGAAACAGACTGAAAAAAAATTTTAAATATATGAGAAATGCTAAGTGATCAATGAGCTCAAAGTATCACATAAATGGTATCCTCTGAAGGTGAATAATGGCTTTGTGAAGTGGTCACATAAGAATATAGTATTATGCCCATTTAGAGAAAGGCAGACTTTGCCTCTTATAATCAGTGGTGAATCTAGGAAATTCCTGGGTTTTGAGACAATATGACTCAGCATTTAATGGGTCTGACCGCCATGCTTCCCTATGTAGCAAAAAACCAAAAAGAACCAATTCCTGCTTAAGAGTAGGCAGATTCCATATGATTTGTGGACAACGAGAGACCTCCAGTGACCCAGATCCTGCCGTTGGCCAGCACACGCAGACAGGGTTCCTTAATTTTCTCCAACTGCCTTAGCACAATATACTTTGATCAAACAACACAGACAATGTATGATCTTCTTCAGTTCATTTTTCAAGACAATTACCAAGCCTTTCAAATTCCAAAATAAGCAATGGTTCTGTGAAAATCCTCCAACCATTAATACAACTCATTTCTTACCCTTTGTTCTTTACACAGGCATTTTTCAAGTGAACGTAGCTGGAAGGAAATATACCCTGGAAGAGAAAACAAGAAGGTCATAGTGCTAGCTGTCTGTTAAGGCAGGGTTAGTTTTACAAGTCATATGTGTCAAACACAGCCACACAACCATGACGATATCAGGGATAGGGAAAAACAGCATCTATACCACATTCTCTAGGCTGAAATGGATTGCGGCGTAGGTTCATTCCTTTCATTTTATACTATTGACTCTTATAGTTTATAGATTTAGAGATTTTTAAAAAATAAATATAATCAAAAAATGTAAATCTCAGAAAGTATATTTCTTTGGAAATAGAAAATTTAAAAATTTTCAGGAATTCTATATAAAAACTATGTTATATTGAGTAAGAGTTTTTAAACTACATATTTTACTCTTTTAAAAGAAGGTTTTTTTGTTTTGGTGGTGGTTCTTTTTCTTCTCCTCCAAACACTCATGCTTCTACTTAAAAATACACACTAAAAAAACCAAAAAATCACTGTGAATTTGAAGACAGTATATATATTATGTGTTATGGAAGATCTTTAATGACAACACAGCAGCAATTAATCACCATGTGGCCATTCTGATGAAACAAGAATTAAACAAAAGAAACCATGCCAGCTTGAAGCTTTTTATTGTAGGGAAATGACAGAGCAAGGAAATTGTTCCTTTGTTCTAAATTGGAAATTGAAAGAAACAAAAATGAGCATCAATTTTACTGTCCATTAAATGACAATATCCTCGGAAGAATTTCTGATGTATAATTAAATGACAAACTCAATTAAATATTTAACAAAACAAATGTCATTTGAACACATATCACCATTGTGGATCTAAGAATAAAATACAATTTAATAAGCAAATTCTGTACATTCAATAGTAGTCAATATGTATATAGATTTTGAAAATCACTTTTTTCCTTCAAAATTTAAATTTACCTCAATATGGTATGGTAAAAAAATAGAGTAATTATAATTAATAAAGAAAAGTCAGACTTGAGGTTTGTTAGACATGGCAGAAATAACAGAGAAATCATAAAACATTTTTCTCAAACATAATCTAAATTTGTAATTAAACACTGAAGCTATATTTGCATGTACCTCACAGATGTCTAAAAACACCATTAAATGAGGGCTAAAGTATTTAAAAAATTAAACTTATACATGCTTTTGTTCCTTATGCTCCTCTGTAGAATGACTTAAATGAAGTAATTAAATAGTTAAATGATCCAGAAAACAGTGTATTTAAGCAAAAAGGCAAAAGAGTTTAGATTCCTTACATGGTATTTTGATAATGAGAAATGATATAATTTCTCATCTACAATCTTAATAAAGCTAGAATTAAACCCCAAATTGAGTACGACATATAAGAAAATATTAGATAATATGAGAGGTATGGGTGAAAACTGGGGAGATTAGAATAAGGTAGAAAAACACAGATATTGGTAAGAATTAGTGGCAAAAATCACAAACTATACAAATAAAAGATAAAACAAAAATTACATTACTTCCTGCTATAATTCCTGAGATTTTACATGAATATATAAAGAATAATCTTAATTTATATCTGATATGGTAAGCAAAATGTTTTTTTTAATAATATGGTTTTCATGGTTTCACCTCCCCAAACCCAAAGCAACTCTTAACATCCCACTAAAATAAACTTGTTCCTCCATATCAATACTTTACAAATGATACCACAGAAAACTTAAAGATTAAATATCTCTATTTAATATTTCTTTTGGAATATGTATTTCTCCTGCATGAATTTTAACTTAGCTCTCTGAGACACTAGCAGTTCAAAAAGATTTTGTTTATATATAATGAGCTTATTAAGGTCTTCTCAGTATAATTTTCAAAAGCTAAATAGGATTATCATTTCAGTAGCATATCTTTACTATAATCCAAGTTCAAAGGAATTTCCAAAATTACGAAAATCTGTGTTACCATTTGGCATTTCAACTGAGTCACAACTGTAATTTCAATTGTCTAATGAAATAATTTAAGTAATTATCTTTTTAAAAAATTCTATAATTATGATTATAAATAAGAATTTTTACCTTGATATTTGGGTTTTTTAAGGCAAATCCTCTGTACCAGCCTGTGGGGAAATAATCATGGTCATGTTTCAATAAACCACTGTAATATTTTAAAGATAAAAAGCAATAACAAATCAATCTGTTCTTTGCTGATGGAATTTTACCCAACATGCAAACATTCTATGTATGAACATGGTGGGTCTTGGCATTAGCCTAGACAACAGCTCAGGTCACCATTAATACAGGTATTTTTATTAATAAAACCATTTTGAGAAATTATTTCAAAAATTTATATAAAAAATAGAAACATGCATAATAGAAGTAGAGGCTTTGTAATCAGAGCACTGGATTTAAATTCTGGCTTTGCTACTTATTAGCTATATAGTCTTGGGCAAATTACCTGACCCCTCTGAGTACTGTTTCTTCCCATTTTATCAAAGGCCACCCTGTGTCTCAGGGAAATTCAAGAATTTGCACATGATTTAATACATTTCCAAATTCTGCTTGCCTGACTACAAAGTCCAGACTCTACCACCAAACGATAGTGCGTGGCCAACAGTCATGTAGTGAATTTCCATGTAGTTTGCATTTCCTTAAGCCCACCGTTTCGGGTTACAATAATCAGTCTCCTATCATATGAAGAGTAAAGCCATCATTCACTACCAGAACTGGCACATTTTCATGAGCACAGTGTCTGATTAAGAGCTGTCCATAATTTTTCTTCTGGAGAATGTCTTACAATAGTCCCCCCATTCTCGGTTCCACTTCCCATGGTTTCAGTTGCCTATGGTCAACCTGAGCGCAAAAATAGTGAAGGGAAAATTCCAGAAATAAACAATTTATAAGTTTTAAATTGCAAACCGTTCTGAGTGGTGAGATGAAATCTCACACCATCCCACCCCTTTCCACCTGGGACACGAATCATTCCTCTATGCAACAGAGCCACACTGTCCATGGTACCCTCCACCTGTGAGTCACGTAGTGGCCCTCTCAGTTATCAGATCGACTGTCACAATATTGCTGTGCTTGTGTTCAAGTCACCCTTATTTTACTGAATCATGGCCCCAAAGTGTAAGAGCAGTGATGTTGGCAATTTGGATATGCTGAAGAGAAGCTGTAAAATGCTTCAGGTGAAAAGGTAAAAATAATTGACTTAATAAGGAAAGAAAAAAACCCGTATGCTGAGGTTGCTAAGATTATGGTAAGAATGAATCTTCTACCCATGAAATTGTGAACAGAATATTGTTATAATTGTCCTATTTTATTATTGTTAATCTCTTATTGTGCCTAATTTATAAATTAAACTTTATCATAGGTATACATGTAGAGGAAAAAACATAGCATATATAGGGTTCAGTACTACCTGCAGTTTCAGGCATCCACTGAGGATCTTGGATCATATACTATACTTCAGCTCCAAGCCACTCTGAATCAATTTTACAGCACTATCCTTAAGGAGGAACATGTCTTTTTATAGTTTAAAATAAATACAAGGTGTGTGTGTGTGTGTGTGTGTATGAATATACATAATTAACATATAGACCTGCTTAAAAGTATTATTTTCAGCTTATGTTTTTTTCAAGTGTAGAAACCATTTTGTTTATTGATAAAAATATTTACTATATAATACATTTTCTAACTAAATTTTTTGACTAATCGGATTTTTAAAAGTAAATATCTGAGATTTATATTTAAACCTTTTTGTTCCTTATAATATATTAAAAGGATATATTAGAAAATATCATCCCTAAGGGTTTTAAAATTAATCTGAAGAGAGGAGAATGAATTGAGAAATCAGAATCTCTGTATCTCAGAGTTTATTAGATCCCATGAAGACAGATTCAAGAAATATATCCATTCATAAATAATTATTCTAAAAGAAACCAAAACTTTCTGAGAATCGTAAAACATCACAGAGAGGTCTCTGTCCAATTATACTATATAGAAAAGTTTTTAGATTATAAAACTGCTCCCATGAGAACACATTTTCATGCACCAATTCAAAATAAATTTTATATTTATCTATATACAAAGTAGAAATAGATAAAATGCATCTGGTAATGGCACAGGATACTTTATTATATTTTTAAAGGTATAAATTACAGTAGACAGAATAAACATCCATCTATCACCACAATTTAATGCAGGCTCTAACTAAACATAGTAGTTCTGTTTGGGGGAACACAATTTAACCTATAATAAGCCTTTATATAATAGAATGTTATCATATTATTGTATAAATTCCCAGCAAGGAAAACTTTTTAAGAGAAAAATGGATATTTTTAGACATACTGATGGGGCTGTAGAATGTAGTCATCTTATTAATAAGAAAAAAAAAAAGAGTACTCATTTCATCTGAAGCCTTTTCAAGGACTAGAGTTTAAGAATGTTTCATGGAATAGGAATGGAAACATTTGAGAACATATTAGGTAACTTTAATGAGTTATCTGCTATAAAAATTAATAATCATATATGGTCATATAATATATTCCACTAATATTAATAATTAAAATGCATTCAATAATTTTATTCCAAATTTGGGGGAAGAAAGGTTACAGGACCAGAGGAGAGTTGGCCTAAGCAGGAGCCTTCTTAGATGCATCTGGTTACCCAACCTCCGGAGGCCACTTCTGCTCTGGACCTCCAGTTCTTATCAGGACCCTTAGGATTCGGAGAAAAGCCTTCTAGTTTGGCACTGAGTCATGAATTCCCACAAATATAGTAGCTCCAGTTGTTTCCTATCAGCAATCTATCAGTATCTAATGAGTCTAAGGAAGTAATATTGAAAAAAAATACAATCAGCTTAAGAATACCAAATAATGCTTTTCCACTAGCTCAACACTGAATATTCAAGAAACAAGTTTTGCCAAAAATGATTTGCTGTGACTACTGGAAAAGTCCCAAGGACTGAAAGAGGTATAGACAGCATCTGTAAACTTTATGAACAGTCCTATGTTGAGGAGGTTGTTCATACAACCTCAAGCAACACCCCGGGCCACTCACCATCACATTTCTCCAGGATCTGAACTGTATCTCCAATTTCCAATGACAGGCCATATGGGACGGTTCCTCGAAAACTGGCAATCACTGTAAGAAATGATACAGGCATATGAAGACAACCATGTCCACGACAGCCAGTTACACTGCTTACTACTAAATGTTAATGACTAGGAAAAATGAATATGAATAGGAAATACACTTTGATAGCTACAATCTTCAGCCACATTTTAATTTTATATATTTTTTTAAGAAAATCATTAAATTTATATACTTTGCCAATTCCTTAGTCAAGTAAGTATTACAAATATGAATTTCACTGCCTTAAAGATATACCACTATTATGTACCTATAACAATTAAAAATTTAAAAATATAACAAATAAAAAATATGCATTTCAAAGATATGAAATGTATTTAAATAATATAAAAAGTATCAAGACTATCACCCAGTAACATATGTAAACAAAGGTATAGTCTGGGAGCTCCATGAGGAATTGGGTCCTTCCTGTTCACTGCTCTATTCACTCTTCCAACCCATATGCCTGGCCCACAGGAATTTATAAATATATGTTCAATAATAAATGGTAAGTATATATCTTACTTGTTATTAAGCTTGGTTTACTTTTCTGCTCTATGGTTTGAAGCAGATTTCTTTTCCATAGAGTTTAAGCTTCTCAAAAGAAGGGACTACATCTATTTGCTCATCATTATGTTCCTAGGGCTTAACACAGTATGTGGCATAAAAGCAGTCTTCTTGTGTAGTAATCAATGCTGACATTTTATTTAGTAATAACTGGACCCTCTCCTAGGACCAAATACACAGCCACTATGACAACTCCCACGTGCTTTAGCTCTTATACCATCTGGAATGTGGGGAGGGAGGTCAGCATTAATTATAGATTGTTTAGATTAATTGGTCTCCGAAACATTTCACAGGGCAGGGCAGAACTAGGACGTAATACCTACAGAGAGAAAGTGTATACAGATCAGTCATCCCCAGGCAACTCTAGGAATTATAGAGAGAATGAAACTCAGTGATTCTTCCCTGGATAGTAACGCTTGGGTCAAAAAGGAGGCAAGGATGGAGAAAGAAACAAAGCGCATCTCAACACACAAAAGAGAAAAGGCGTCTCTTGTGAAGAACTATGCTAGCTGAAATCAACTAGCATGATGTGATAGCAGTGCACACCAAAAGAAACTGATTTTTAAAAGGCCAACAGTTTAGAAGTGAATCTTAACTCTTTCTCACTTCAGAGAGTAAGATTTAGATATAATCCCAATCCCCAAAATAAGTTATGGCTACTGTTGGGAATGTATTTTAAAAGCCTGAGGAACACATGAACCTGTCAAAAATCAAAACATGCCAATAAGTAATGGGCTTTTAGAGAAGTCTCAAGCCCTTTTATGATCTCAAAACAAAATTAACAGTAGAGATCAAAACACAGGACAAAAAACACAACCCAAAGTACGTGAGACGGAAGAAAATAACTACATAGAAACCAATTAAGAACATTTTAGACAAACACTAATTTATGATGTCATTTTCTAACTATAACCATAAATACCATATGGCCTCATATTGATGTACCGAAGATGTTTGCTTGAAAAATAATCAAGAGTCTATATACATCTGGACAGAGTACTTCACATAACTTTCAGAGACCTCTTCTTACAGGGGATCAATAACTGAGCAAACAGTAGATTGATTATGATTTAAAAGATTTCAAAACAAACTTGCACCCAGAATTGCCTTTCTACACTCACGAAGTCATCTTAAATTCTCACAACCCAGATGGTTCAACCCTGTGCACCACTGATTCTTCTCTCAGAGGTCTCAGTGCCATGGACTTCCCAACACCAAACTACATGTAGCTCTTACCCCTGAGGAACGCTCTCCTATGCGCCAGGCTGCCTCCACACACAGGCTGCCCTCTCCCTCCCCTCGCCACCTTCTTGAACACAGTCGTACCACTCACGGCTTTCAGTTCTTCACCTTCCCTTCTTGCCTCAGCCTGTACAATCCACCCTTCACCGTGCTCTACAACTGCTCCACTAAGGTCTCTAGTCCCCTCACTGTGGCTGCATTCAAATCGCCTTTCAGCAGTCTATCCTCTCTCGAATCTTCCACTGATTCCTCTCACACCCTGTAGTCATCTTCTCCAGACCTTTTTTCTCAGCCCTCCTCTTAAATGTTGGTGTCATCCAGGGTTCCATCCTCAAGATGCTGAAGTGTAAAGGCGGGGGTGTAGGAAAACAGCATCAAGCGCGGCATCATGACACATGGATTTCAACCATATCTCCACACTTATTACCTATGTGACCTTGGTCAAGACACCAACCTCTCAGAATCTCAGTTACCTCATTGGGCAAATGGGGCTAATAATAAAGATATTGCATAAGGTAATGGTAGAATTAAATAAGGCACCTCTACGAAATAACTTGCTAAACTATCTGGTATATTTCTGTCATTTAATAAACACCGTGGTTGTTGAAACTATACTTTTCCTCTTCTACCCATACACATTCTCCCTACATGGAGACAGTTCTAAGACTTCCAGAATCACCTGTTGACATATGACTTGCCAACCCTCTCTCCAGTCCTGGGCTCCTGACACAAACTTCCCACTTGTATATCTCTATTCAGATGTCTGAGCACCTAAAACTTAGCATGCTTTCAACTGAGCTCATTCTCTCCCTTCATCCCCCAACCAAATCTGAGCTATTCTCTCTTCCCCAATCACCCACTCTAAAATGTTTGTCCTGCTTTATTCTGGGAGTCCTGGTTGGGTTTCTCTGGCACTCTCAACAGGGCCACTGCAAACCTTCCAAGAGTTCTTCCTGTCCATGGTTATCGTTCCTCAACACAATGTCCATAAGGCCACCAGAGTTACCTTTGATTCTGTCATATCTGTGCTTATGTTTCTTTTCATATGATATCAGGAAAATTATCTTTCCTTGATTACATGCAATTCCTTAAAAAGGAAAAGGCACTAGAATGTATCACACAGTGTTGGACAACAGCTTAATGAGGTTAGTCATTTTCTTCTTATTTCATGCTGCCATGGAGCCAATACAATCATAAAGTGTCTTCAATCTGGATTCACTTTCGTGTTACCTGTTGTGTTAAATGATAGAACCATCCATTGATTGTACAAACTAGAAGCCCGGGGTTCAACCTCACACACCTCCTGCACACAGCCAGTCCATCCCTGTGTCACGCTGATCTTATCTCAAATATCTCACAAAGCCACCCTTTGTCAACATTTCCATCCACTCCCATTGTGGTCTTTGCTCATGGTCTCCTAATATGTCTAAGTACAGGTTTCTCTCCAATCTATTTCACACACAACAGGGAGATCTTTTCAAGATGCACATTTGATGTCATCTTCCTCCTAAATATATCAAAGCTCTGAGAACAACGCGATAATCACGACCATAGCCTGTAAGACCCTGCCCTTCTGTATGGTCTTATCCTGCGCCTCTCAGCCCCACCTCTGTACTCCAGTCACTACGACCTTCCGTCCACACCTTCCTCGCTATACTCCTTCCCGCAGAGGATTCTGCACATGATTGACCCCTTGCAAGAACAGGCTCCCTTTCCCTCCTCACCAAGTTAACCGCCATGCATCCTTCATGTATTGGTCCAGTGGTCACTTCCTTGGGGAAGCCTCCCTTGATGCACATCCCCTCAACCCAATGTACATGCACTCATAGCACCATGTGACACTTAATCACACCCCTTTGTGTGCAAGTTTTTGCATGATGGCTCCTGCACTGGACTGTAAGTTCCAAGGATGGAAAGACTGTGTTGGTTTTAGCTCTTAACTATATACCCAATTCAGCACAGAGGCTGGTACACACTCTGCGCTCAGTAAATAGTTACTGAGCCAATGAATGAGGGCGGGGCATGGCTATTACCTGTCACATGTTCTGGTCTTAAACAGTCAGTTTCCTTTATTATTGAGAATATAATTTTAAAAGGATGCTCCAAATTCTAAGAACCAAACTATCTTACCTGTGAATACTCACTGTTTCATGGGAGCTATTTAAAACTGAGTTTATCTGGGTCATAACCATGTATTATTTCATGTCTTATCCAATCAGTCGACGGGGGTTAATTCTGATTTTACTGTTCAGCTATGTAATAGTTAATAACTATTAAAGGCAAGCTAATAAATTCTCCAATCTCACTGGCCTTCAGATGGTTCCTCTATAAAACAAAGGAACTAAATGAGGTGAAGTGAAAGGTCCCTGTCAGCCTGAAATTCTGAGTCTGGGAGAAGCCTTTTAGCTCAGCAGTGACACAGCGTAGTCCTTACTGAAGAACTATGTCCCCAAACCAGCCTACTCAGTTTAGTCACTGCCTGTGATCAAATGAACATATGTCCCCACCTGCAACAGCCATCTGATAAAGTAGAAGACATCACCTGCTCTCAGCATCTCATAGAAGGTTTTCACCAACTGCTCTCTTTCTACCTTTCCAGGCTCACACCCCACCTACCTCTGCACAGCTCCCTGTGCTCAGCCATACCCAAGTCTCATCAGGCTCCTTCTTGCAAACCTCAGTGCCTTCACATATATCATTCCCTCTTTAGAAGGTTGCCTTCTCTACCCCTTTTATACTGGGAATTGCAAAGCAGCCTTAATTTAAGGTTTAGCTCCAAGGTTAGAAGATTTCCTAATGCTACTCTATCTCTTTCTCCATATAGAATCCATATAGAATCAATTAGAATCCATATAGAATCCATATAGAATCATAGAATCAGGTCCATATAGAATCAACTACTCCCGCGTCTGTGCTCGCAGGGCACTTTGACCATATCTTAAATAGAGTAAGTTATAGCATTTTATTTACCTGTGTCTTTCTACTTGAGAGGATAAACTATTTTTCACTCATCTTTCAATATGAAGTGTCTGAGTAACCAGAACAAGACCAGAACAAGTGTCTGAGTAAATGAATGAGGAAACACATGGAATGAATGAATGAATGAAGCCACTAAGAAACGGTACCCAGGTTTTAATGGATTCAGATAACCTCAGGGACACTTCCCATAACTAAAAATATCTAAGCAATAAGTATTAAACAGC